ACCAAGATTACAAACAATAATAAATTCTGGAGAGGTTATGGGGGGAAAGGAACACTTTTACACTGTTGGTGAAACTGTAAATTTGAACAACTGCTATAAAAATAAGTATGAAGTTTCCTCAAAAGAGTAGGAATAGAAGCACCATATGACCCAAATATATCACTCCTTGATATTTTTCCAAAAGAATTAAAGTCATAATAATATAATGATATATAGCAACACAATTTACAATAGCCAAATGATGGTATCAGCCTAGGTGCCCACTGATAGACAAATAGCTAACAGAAATGTGGTATATATACAGAATGGAGTTTTATTCAGTCATAAGGAAGAATGAAATTATGTCATTTTCAGGAAAATGGATGGAACTTGAGAGTATTGTGTTAAGCAAAATAAGCCAAACTGAGAAAGTCAAAGGTTGTATGTTTTCTTTCATATGTGGATGCTAGAGAGGAAAAAAAAAAAAAACCAATTTGCCAGGAGATCTCTTGAAAATAAGAGAGAGACAAGTAGAATACGGAAAAGGACCATGGGGAGGGAAGAGAGAAGGAAAAGACAAATTTCTAGGGAACAATATTGGCCAAATTACATTGTTTTACGAATGTCTGAATATATAACAACAAATTCCATTATTGTGTATAATTATATGAATAAAAATATGGAAAAAAATGAGGAAATGATATTCCTGAATCTCTCAATTACTTGTAAAAAATTCACAATTTTGTACATTTTAAAATGGTTAAGATGGTAAACTTTGTTATGCAGATTTACTTTATATATATATATTTTAATTGTCAATGGACCTTTATTTTATTTATTTACATGTGATACCAAGAATCCCAGTAATTCACAGATGCTAGGCAAGCGCTCTCCCACTGAGCTATAATCCTAGCCCTTTGCTTTAGTTTTTTTTAAAAGTTAAGGAAAAATAATAAAATAATAAATGAAAAACAATAGGCAGAGACCTAGCAAGCCTGATACTGTTTCCAAAGCCCAGTTGTCTGATGAAACAAACTAGGTTGCAACAGAACCTCTGCCTTACCATTTCCTAAGCTCTCCATTTCCTAAGAGTCCCACATCTCGCCTGCTAAAATCATTAATAGAGTTCTTCATGTCTGTCCTAATCATCCCGCCGACAGATAAAATTTAGTTAATATCCTTTTCTCCCTCCCCAACATTGAAAAATAAGATAAATAGAATCTATCTCCATAATTTCACTTAGTCATTTAGTTCAGTAGCATCTGTTTATCATGATTTATAAGAATTTGGCTGGCAATGAGAGTTGCAGGATGCATTTGCATAAAGGAATTTTATTTACATATTTTTCCTCCTTGAGCACTAGGATGCTCAAAATGGCCATGTCTTGGAAAATCGAGCAAGCTCCAGTGGTGATTATTACTTTGCTAATATGCAATGGTCATTAAGAAGTGAAAAACATTTACAGCTATTCAATTTAAAAGACAAACTCGAGGATCAGTCTATTAAAGTAACCAAATAAAAATAAGAGATAACCAAAATACGGATTCCTGTTGCTATGGCTTGCCCATGAAGCATGAACTTAACTTCCTTAGCAGAAGCTCACAAAGCAGACTGTCTTTTGAGTGGCCAGGAAGAGAGAAAAACAGTCTTCACGGGTATTTCCTTTGCAACTCTGAAGCTAAATTCCATGTTCATATAAGGAAGTGTATTCAGAATTCTTTCTGCAATATTCTTTGTATGATAACCTTTATTATGCTTATCTCTCCTCTACATATTAAGTAAAAGAGGAGAAAAGAATACCGTGCTATGCCACCATGCATCTGAAAAGCAAGAGGAGGATACAATAATACATATATTTTTGCTTAGATTTTACAAAATCAAAATACAAATCATAAAAATGATTTTTAAAGTGATTACCTATAGAACAAGAGAATGCTCCAGGTTTGGGCCAGGGATATGATTGACTCCGCTAAAAACACCTTATTTGGGGTCAGGCACAATGCCACATATCAGGAATCCCAGATTTTGCGGAGGCTGAGGCAGGAGAAACACAAATTCTAGGCCAGCCTGGGCAATGAAGTAAGACCCTGTCACTAGATAAAAAATAAAGAGGGCTGGGGATGTGGCTCAAGCGGTAGCGCTCGCTCGCCTGGCATGCGTGCGGCCCAGGTTCGATCCTCAGCACCACATACCAACAAAGATGTTGTGTTCGCCGAGAACTAAAAAACAAATATTAAAAAAAATTCTCTCTGTCTCTCTCTCTTCTCTCTCCTCTCTCACTCTCTTTAAAAATAAAATAAAATAAAAAAATAAAGAGAGCTGGGGATGTAGCTCAGTGGTAGAGCGCCCTTGGGTTCAATTCCCAGTACCACAAAAACAAAAATTAAAAACCAACTTATTTTATAGACTTGACTTCAGAAATGTGTATCTGTTTAAGATGCATTACCTTATAAGACAAAGCAAAATGCTAACATTTAAAAAATTAAATATTTTTTTTAAAAAACAGATACTGGAATATAAACAAATCATGTGTTATAACTTATTATTGCTTTTTTTTAAAGAGAGACAATTTTTTAATATAAATTTTTTAGTTTTTGGTGGACACAACATCTTTCTTTGTATGAGGTGCTGAGGGTCGAACCCAGGCCGAACGCATGCCAGGTGAGCGAGCGCTACCGCTTGAGCCACATCACCAGCCCCCCAAAATTAAATCTTTAAAATCAAAAGCCAAAAGGGGCTGGGGTTGAGGTTCAGCAGTAGAGTATTTGCCTACATGTGAAAGGTGCAGGGTTCGATCCTCAGTACCACATAAAAATAAAAAAAGCCAACAATTTAATCTAAACATGTATCAAGTTGGCTTAACTACATAAAGAGGGACTATTTAAATGATTTTAACATACAGTTGACTGTATCTAGAATTTACACTAAGGACCAAAAAAAATGTTTTAAGTAAAAATATTAATCTTTTTAGTAATAACAATGGTATTACAATTCAGAAATTATATATATGTATATATAGCAATATAACTATTAATATATTTATGTAAACATACTAATATATAACCAGATGCACATGAGTATACAGATAAATAATGGATTATTGAATTGTTTTGTTTGTTTTACAGTACTGAGGATTGAACCCAGAAGCACTCTACCACTGAGCTATATCCACAGCCCTTTAAAATTTTTTTTTTTTTTTTTAATATTGAGACAGTTCTTGCTGAATTGCTGAAGCTGGTTTCCAGCTTGCAATCCTCCTGCCTCATCTTCCCAACTACCTGAGATCACTGTCACTGCACCCATCGAGGAATAGGTTTTAAAAACAAAGGACTTTGGGGGCTGGGATTGTGGCTCAGCGGTAGAGCACTTGCCTAGTAGGGGTGCGACCTGGGTTCAATTCTCAACACCACATTAAAAAAAAAATAAAATAAAGGCATTGTGTTGTATCCATCTACAAAAAAGATTCTCTCTCTTAAAAAAAAAGGGGGGGGGCGGGGCTTTGGAGAAATGGCTAACTCAAGGTTTGGAGCAGAAAGTACATAATGTCTTCTTGCCTGGAACCGGAAAACAAACAAAAAGCTATTAAAGACCTCTGAGGCCAAATCTTAGTGCTGAAGAAGTTGTACACATAGTATAAATGCCACCATATACAAAAAAAAAAAAAAAAATGCAAGGAGGGCTGTAGATGGTATTCAGGGGTAGAGCGTTTGCCTAGCATGTGTGAGGCTCTGAGTTCAATTCCCAAAACTGCAAAATAATTAAAAAAAAAAAAAAAACTAGTGCTAGTATTAGTGGATTTTTGTCATCTCCCTTTTCACTCTTTCTCTCCAAGTCTTTCATCAGCTGGATATCTTACTAGATAAAGGCCTCTCCTTGGAACAAATCCATTTCTCTACAAATTCCTAACTCCCTCCTGCCTCTCCAGGTGTGTATAAGTAAATATAACTTTTCACACAGTATGGTGTAGGACATGGTCAGCTTTTTATGTAAAGCTCCAGGCTATAAATATTTTAGGTTTTGAGAACAATGCCTGTCCTCCCATCTTTTTTTTTTTTAAGACAGCAAACCTTTAAAAATGTGGGGGAAAAAGGGGAATTGCATGGAAGAAGGAAGGAGGCCCTCATCGTTATATAGATTACATGTATGATGATGTGAGGGAAAAGGAAAAAAAAATAAGTGTGTCACATTAGATTGGGTAGAGAAAAGTGATGGGAGGGGAGGGGAAGGGGGGATAGGAAGGACAACAGAATAAAATAGACACTAATATTAATAAAATAGACACTAATATTGCTGTATGTATATACGTGACTGCATGACCAATGTGATTCTGCAACCTGTACACTCAGAATGAGAAATTATACCCCGTTTGATTCAAATGTATGTCAAGATCATTGTACTGTCATGTGTAACTAATTAAAACAAATTAAAAAAAAATAAAATTTTGTAAAGAAAGTTTAAAAAAAAAAAAAAAAGACAGCAACCCTTTAGAAATGTGGGGGGAAAAATTACATATGCACTATTAGAAGCTAGGCTATAGCAAGATCTGACCCAGGCTGTGGTTTGCCAATCCCTGATCTAAAGAACAGGGTTATTCAAGCTTTTAGATCAGTACTTTTGTGTCTTCTGGTATTCAAGTCCTGGAACAGGCCTCAGGGAAAACAGCAAGCATTTAATATTCAAATGATTGATAAAAGCAGCCAAGTATTGCAAAATCACCATTAGTTCCTGGGGCAGTATATAATAAAGGAAAAAAATAATACTGTGTAATTTCCTGAGAGCATATTGTGTTCAATCAGGTAACATGGTTGCCTTAGTCCACTTTCTGATCACAGGTACTGGTCACATCACCAAGAAAGACACTGCTCAAGAGAGGGTGGCCCTTAACCTTCAGAAACAAGCCAAGAGGGAAACTTCTAAAGTAAAGTTTAAATGACATTTGTGTAAATATGAGGAAGACATTATTTTAAAAAAAAAGACATTTTATGACAAAATGTTTTACTATTAAAATAAAAACCTCTGTATAAAAGTATTACAGATCAAAAGCTATATTTACACTTATTGATTCAAAGTCCAATTAAGCATCAAACTCTGAAAGGGTACAGCAACAGGCTATACATGCAATACACTGGACACACAAACACTTAAAAATTCCACTTCTATCATATAATGATTTATGTGAAAGGAAAGAAAAAGACAAAATCTTTTTTAACAACCCAAATTTTCCAAACAACAGGCTGGGGACGTAGTTCAGTGGAATATGGGCTTGGCCAGGAACAAGGTTCGGGGTTCTAATGCCCAGCACCACAGACAGACTACAAGTAAGTACCAATTTGCATAACCTCTAAACATTTAAAGCTTCCCAATTACATATCTAATAAGGCTGAATTACAATTTAAGATTCCAAGAAATCTGCCCAGAAACTACAATGGCAGATATACCAAGTTAAAAAACCATTGAAAGTTATTCATCTCTGAAAAGGCACTTCTCATTGTTATAAAAAAAGCTTAAAACCTGAAAAAAATCCCTGTGCACAGCAACACCCAGGGATAATATAAGAAACTGCAAAGAACAATAGTCTAGTTATTATCAAGTTTCTAAAAACTTTTACAGCAAGAATTTATATCGGACTACTCTGAGGTTCCCCATCCTAAATTCCCAGAATTTCTCTTAAGACAATTGTTTTAAGTAGTGCAGTGTCATGTTGCCCACAGACCTTTGGACGATTGTAAACAGGATGCACCACTTCACTTTAGAGTGGAAGAAATCAGAGGCAACAAAGTCTCAACTGTGACAAGTTATATAGTAACCACAATACATACTGATATTCTCATGAGAGGCATTCACAGTAATATACTTCATTTCCCAACAATGACTAGTTTTTCCACATTGTTCTAAGATTTTCATGCCTTGATTCTGTTAAAAATGTCAATTAGTGTGAACATTAAAGTCATAACCATTGTTTTTGTATAAACAAGTCAGAGGGCTGCTCTCTGGAACTCGACAGAACAGTTAGTATTTTTATACCATGTTTTTAAGTGCTCAGGGTTTATGGGTAGATCTCAGGGATATTTCAACACCAATTAAATCAAATATGCTGTTAAAACTCTGATTTAAAAAGAATTCTGAAACTAAGTGACTAGAGAGGACTCCTGGAAAAAGAGAGAGGGGCTATATGATGGGGTCCAGGGGAAGCAGAGGAGAAACTACACGAGGGTGAAGTGTAACCAGCCACATGTCTCCCGTGAGGTTCCAGAAACATGTGCCAGTCTAATGAGATGAACTTGACTGAGTTTCCCATAAGGCAGACTGATGGTCAAGACTCTTAATGACAAAACCGAGAATTTTAAGGGCGGTGTGAGAAGCAGAAGGCCAGCATCTGGTGGGTATTACGCTTGCATTTCAAATTCCTGTTTCAGGCTGTGAAAGAGAAAGAGGGACATATTAGGATATAGTCCGTGACCTAAGAATTCTCTTTTGAAAGCCAAATTCAACTGCTGAAAACATGTTTTGAGATATATAACACATATATGGTCAAGTACATACATCAAGTGTTCAACCTGAACTTTACACACCGGCCACCCAGCCACTACAACCTAGATTAAGATATACCGTTTCCACGCTAGGGATATAGCTCAGTTGGCAGAGTGCTTGCCTCAAATGCACAAGGTTCAATCCCCAGCACCATCCAAAAAAAAAAAAAAACCAATATACCCTTTCTAACACTACCTATACACCCATTATAGTCTTTGGTTTTGGTGCTGCTGGGGATCAAACCCAGGGTCTTGCACATGAGGTAACCATTTCTATCCCTGAGCTATATTCCCCGACCCTCCTTGGTTCATATTTTCTTTTTGTATTAAGATCTTTTTTGTATTATGGATCTTTGTATTAAGATCCATAAACGAATCCAAGATTCAGGTGTGGAAGAAAGACAAATAACTGCCATTACCTTTTCAAGTAATCATGAACATTCCCAAAGCCATGATACTTGGCTAAATACACAAGGACCCCAGTTGCACACCGCCCATCTCGTTGGCGGCAGAAGCTGCAGTTGCAGATTCCTCGACAAGGTGGGCAATGCCAGTTCTGAAAGAGCATTGTGTAAAAACACCATGAAATTAAGCCTTACTTTCCCCATACTTATCTACTCCATTTTATTTCATCTTTTTATTTAATGTAGGTATTATCAATCCATTTTTTAGATTAAAAGAAGTCATAAAATAGCTAATATGCATGAGTCATGCCCATTGTTTCCTTAAAAAATTCAGGAAAGACAGTTACACAACTTCCAGGAATAAATAGGGTCAACTTTCTCTGAATAGCTGGGTCTGAGCACTCTGGATGGGGCTCGTACCTTGCAGCACTAACACTGAATTAATCTGACTCCCCCAAAAGAGCATCTCAAAACTCTAGGGCCTCAATCCCTTCCTACTACCCTTCTTCTGGCTTTATCAGCTTGTGGCTGACCTTCAAGCCCCCATGACCAACCCCTTTCTCCAAGGCACCTACTGGATTTAGCAAAGCATCCTTGACCTCTTCACCATAACGGTTTCGAAGGCAGGGACCACAGAACTGGCCTCGAATGCCCCAGCAGTCTGGGTTTCTGCAGTTTGTTTTGGTATCAATGGTTTTCTGTCGGCACTGATGACAAGTAGATCCCTACCAATAAAGAGTAAATAAGAAGACATGAAAACACAGCTTTATGTAGAGAAATATCCTTGGGGCTAGGGTTGTGGCTCAGTGGTAGAGCGCTTGCCTAGCATGAGTGAGGCACTGGATTCGATCTTCACATTTTGTCTTTGAATCTTATTTCATATCTCTATACGTAGGTATATGCCAGGGCACAAAAAGTATCTCAAGCAGGATGATTGGCAGGTGCAATAGTTCTTATAATTAAAATATCTTTTTTATTTTGGAGCTAGAGACATAGCATTTGAACACTTGCCTATTATTAATATGCACATGGCCCTGGGCTCAAAAAGCAGGCACATTTTTTACATTTCTTCACCAGGTCACAGTGTATCCTTGTCTCTGAGAACATATGCTATTGTCCATGTTATTGATTGTAGCCATCCTTCTACCCATAAAGTGGTCTCTTGTTATGACTTTGATTTGCAATTTCTTAATGATAAATGATGATTGCTTTTCAAAACATAATGATCTTTAGAGAAGTGCATATTCAAGTCTTTGGATACTTTTTATTGGATTTTTCTTTGTTGTTTAGTTGTAACAATCATTTCTGAGTTATAATCTATGATTTGCAAATATTTTTTCATTCTGTGAGTTGTCCATTAAATTTCTTAGTGCATTCTTTGATGCTCAAAAGCTATAATTTTTAATAAAGTTTAATTTACTTATTAAAAAAAAATCCAGCTCCAATATTTTTATCTTTAATACACCCACCACTGTATCACCCACATGTATATGTGTCCATGTACACAATAGATACACAATGAATGTGTCAAATAAATAAATTTCTAAATTAAAAGATTTGCCACTACTTCATATTTACCAGGAAGATAATTCAAGTGACAGAGGGCATCCCTCATGCCCAGACCTCTGGAACATGAGCACCACTCTAGGGACAGAAGCTGTCCCTCCTCTCATGGATGTTTACATTTCCAAACGTAATTTAGAGGCTCTCACCAGTGAACGGTTGTATATCTTCTCTCGAGAGTTGCTGCAGATGTTCTCCAACTCATCCTCTGTGATTTCTTCCACTGGGCGAATTATATGCGGAAGGGTCATGGATCCTGGGCGCCGACTTCTGGGCGTATCATCATCCTGAGAAACAAGAAGCATGAAACAGAGTTCCTTACTGGCTCTCTCCAGTTTTGAATCTTCAGATACTTGATTTGTAATTATTCCGTACAGAAAATTCAACCTGGAAAATGCCTCTTGCTCATGGAGAGCGGGCAAGTTGTAAGTTTAGTGTACGGATAACTGGACAACATTATGGAAATGATTCCTACCATTAGAAAAGCAGAACTACCTCTCATCTGCCAACGCAATCAAGTAAGTTTATGTGACATTAACAATTATAGATGGTTCATGAAAAGCACTTAAATTGAATCATAATTGGTGTTGAGGCTGTGTGTGTTCACGAAACAGGGCTGACAGAAGAAGAAAAACAGAAGAGTGAGTACCAATTTGGAGAACTCACGTTCATGTATCCGTCCACAGTCTTCCTCTTTCTCACCAGCATAAACTTATCATCTTCCTCTTCTTCCTCCTCCTCTTCAGTGGGAAGAGCACTAAGGGACCCCAGGATGCGGGACCTTGACCTAGTCAGAGGACGAGCCCTCCGGTCAGGGTTCCTCCTGGAAGCCACACCTGGGAATGTACGCCTTCGGGGTGTCTTTGACTGCTGAAAAATACATGCAGGAGGCACCCATTCATTCCATAACAAAAAGAGGCAACCCTTTGGGAAAATGTCACATTACATAGAGAATGAGCCCCCAAATCCATATTATGGTCTTTGGAATTTTAAGCCCATTTTCTCTCAAATCAGTCTATGCATTATTCTACTTAATGCAAAAAAAAAAAAAAATTACCTCCTGTTCCAACAAAAATTTCTGATTCCGCCTGAGCTATGAACCCACACTCTACATTGCATAGAGTGTTTGGTTTCCTTCTCCCCTTCCTTGTTGGCTGCCCTTCCTCCTCCTCATGGGAGTCAGTATAAAGCAGACTTTACTTTTGTTATCACAGTTGTCTGAGCTTCATTTTCAGGAAACCATCATACATGATTTTGGGCCATGAGCTGATAAACTTTTTCCTTTTTTTCCCCTCACTCTTGGATTTTAAATACATCAATCACCCATCTACCATGAAGGAGAAATGTGCGAAAGCTGAAACCAGCCTTTAATCCTCACCATGCTGAAGGGCTTTGCCTAACTGGAAAGGAGGGAAATAGCCACTCTAAAAGAGTATGAGCTCCACAGGCAGTAGGAGCTGTAATCCAGAGCTACCAAAAAGAGTCTTCTAGTTACCCTTTGACCATCTAGAAGACCAAATAGGAAACTGCATTTTAAAATCTCACACAAATCTGTCCTAGGCTTGCCCAAAACAATACTACAAACAAGGACTTACATTTACTGATCTTGGGCCTGGGAGAGAACGTCTTCCAGGGAAGGAACCAGGGAAGCTTTCTAATTCTGACATGAGTTTTGCAAGCTAAAAAGGGAAGAAATTAAATAGAAATTCTTGGTTAAAATAAGTGCTGAAGGGGCTGGGGATAGCTCAGTTGGGAGAGTGCTTGTTTTGCATGCACAAGGCCCTGGGTTCAATCCCCAGCAACACACACACACACACACACACACACAAAAGAGCAACTTATTTGTGAAAACTACACTAGCAGCTTTAAGTTAACAAATTCAAAGAGTTTCTGATGTCACCTCTGTGCTTAATAGATTTTAAAAGAAGCAGTTTGAGGGGAAAAAAATTGGGGGGGAAGGGAGTACATGAGATTGTACCCAGGGCCATGCGCCTGCCAAGACTGCTCTATCACTGGGCTATATCCTCCATCATGAAGACTTCACAGCTACACAGAAGATAAAGAAACGAGTCTAAGTAACAAACTGCTTAGAGAAAAGTTGGAAAGTTTTGACATGTTCAAAATTATTACATACCATTGCTTTGTTCTGCTTTATATTTAAAGCCCTTTTCTCAAGAAAGTTCATGCCACTTTCATCTTCTGAATCAGAATTGGAATCAATAGTGAAATTCTCTGAAGGCTTAGTGGGTGCCACTTTTTTGTTGGCTGCACTCCTGGTGTTTCGTGCTGGGAACTTCATCGCCACCCTGAGAGGTCCAGAAAGTTTGTACTGGCTGCGGGTCCTATACTGGCTGCGGGTCTTACAGCCTTCCCGGTTTGCCTGCGATCTCTAGTTAATGAGAGCAATTGAGTCATTAATCACTTGATGGGCAGACAAAGTTGCATCAGTGTGAGTATAAAATCACTTCTGAACAAAAGACACTTTAACAAACAAAATATAAATGCACTGACAGCGCTGGGTAACAAAATCAAGAATTGCTCAAGTAAATGGAACAATCTGATTATAGTTTGGCTACATGTAGCTTATCTGGGACACACTGTTCTCAATCTGTGCTTTATAGGCTCCTGGATGGTTCAGAGTCAGTTTTTAAAATGTGAAAACTCCTGCTCTTTTTCATTTCTTTAAAAAATTCTTTCTGCATTTAAATAGAATTCTTGGAGGAACAACTGTATTCTCTCATAAATGTGGTTTCAATCCTTATGGCAATACATTAAACTATATTTATATTAAGATGTCTCAATTCTCTGTCCACTTTTTTGGGGGGGAGGGTGATAGGAATGGAACATAGGTGTGCTCTACCACTGAGATACATTCTCAGCCCTTTTTTATTTGTTTGTTACTAGAGCTTGAAACCAGGAACACTTTACCACTGAGCTACATCCCAGCTTTTTGTTGTTCTTATTTTTTAGTTTTAAGACATAGACCTGATAAGCTGCTTAAGACCTTGCTAAGTTGCTAAGGCTGGATTCGAACTTGCCATCCTCCTTTCTCAGCCTCCCAAATCACTGGGATTATAGGCATGCAGCTTCTTCTTTTATTTAATTGAGACAGGGTCTTACATCACCTCACCTGGCTCAAACATTTAATGAGCTACGGGTGTGGCTCAGTGGTAGAGTGCACACTCAGCATGCATGACGCTCTGTGTTCAAACCCCAGCACCAACAAATAAATGTTTCTCAAATCCCAACAAACAGTTCTTAGTACTGTTCATGGATAGAGGGAACACTAAACAAAAATCTTTCATGAATCTTTAGCACTTTTAATCAATAGACATTATATTAATCACAAGAGGTAGTGTCTATAAAAAACTGAAACATGAGCAGAAATTATTCAGGGCATTGACAACAGGTCACATCCAGATTTACAGAGTGGTCCCGGTGATAAAATGTTCCTAAGTGCCAAGGTAGCTCAACATCACTTATTAGAGCAAACACATACTAGGATGAATAGACAGTGATAAAACAGTCATGGGGCAAGCGCTGTCACTCAGTGCTACTCAAGTGGTGACCCACAGGCAGTGGACCCATCTCAGACCACAGTGAGCTGAAGAGCATGCACCTGATTCTAATAACACACCTTCCTTTGGAAAAAGTCTCTGGGACAAGACAATGTTTGCAGAATTATATGGTGTGCTCAGGGTATGGGGTCAAGTAGAGAAGCAGCAGCATCAGTCTGAGCAAGGTGACAGAGCTTAAAGAGGACAGAACAAGCACAGGAAAAGACTATCCAGTTGCAAATTCAGAAGCAGAAAGGATTCTACTTGTCCTTGTATGCACTTGAGCTCTTGTATAGGAGTCCTCATTCTCGGGATTCAGGTAATAATCTAACTCTGGAAACTAGCTATTATTAAAGGCCTGATCTCTGCCAGGTACAGGGCTGGGCACCTGCATGTAAATGTCAATGTAGCTGATCTTTAGGATGTGTGTATTTCCTCTGACTAGGTTGGATCTCTGTGACAATGAGAATTGGGAGGTTGGCCAACTTTAGTTTACAAGTTTCTATGATTGTCAAGCCCTACAAAATGTTTTTAGACTTCAAAGTAGGACTACATTAGAAAAACTGCTTTAAGACATGAAGAAAATACTCAAAATTTTAAAAAGGTCAACAAAATCTTCTGGCATGACTAAAGGGAAAAATCATAAGAAAAAAAAAATTTTCAAAAAAGCAAGTGTGTCATGCCTCTAAAATCTTACTTCTTGACATTGGTGAAACTCTCAAACTCACCATTCCATCTTGAATCTCACTCTCTGAGAAACCGCAAAATGATTCATCATCAGAGTCGGCATGAAAAATACTGGCCAGTTTGTTAGTGACATCTGGCCTTGGTTTCTGTAAAAATCCACAATGGTCTAACACATCTTGCACCTCACTTTCTGAAAAGCCGCAGAAAGATTCATTATCAGAGTCCTCATAAAAAACATTTGCCAGTTCTTCACTGATATCTGACCTGAATTTAGGTTTCTGTAAAATAAATAAATAAATGTGGTTGTACATTTTTTTTTTCTTTTTCAAGAACCAATTTTCCATAAACCGTGCAGAGAGCAAATCACATTTACAAGTGCACTACAAGAGAATAGCTTTTGTTACAAAGAAAAATGGTTCTGAGGTTTACAAATGATTTCTAAGTTGTTATGGCAAATCATCAGGCATGTTAGGTTAGGCGACATTTCAAAAGGATAGAATAAGTAGCTAATCTATCTCCAACAATTACTACCTAGAACCACAGCAAAAAGTGAAATGAAATTACAGTGCATACTGTATTTTCATAACGGCTGTATAGAAATGTAGGCAAAAAGCAAGCAGTTTTAATCACGCACAAAGCATTTGGGGCATTTTGAGCACTGCAGACTCAATCCTGTTTATTCTCAGGCAGCACTTACCGTGTTTGCAAAATTATCAGAAGCAAAGCTGTCACAACTGTCATCAGAGGATGACGAGGTTTCCATGGAAATCAACTTCATATATCTGAATTTCTTTAAGTTCTTTACTCTGAGATCCTTTTGCTGCAAATGGAAATGGCAATACTATTAAGTGGATGTTTACTATAGTATCCAACTAAAGACATCACTTTTGAGTTTAGGAGGTTTAAACAGCAAAGTAGGTATGTCCATTTCTCACACTATACACAGAAAAAGGAAGATTTGCAATTGCTATAAGTATCTTCAAAACCAGGTCAAATTCTACGTTATCCCTTTGGAGACAATTTTAGTGATATTTATCAATTTATTCAAACATCTTCTGAGCTACCTCTTCCCAACCTTAAATGCCCAAGTTCTTAGCATTATAATGAGCCCCACAGGAGCTTAATGCTAAACTTTTAAAATCCAACCTCTTTTAAAAATTAAATAGCACTACTAAAAGAAAATTTCAAAAGTACAAAATGCCTGAGCGATTTTTCTCCCTCAAGCCAAAATCAAGCTAATGAGGTCTTTTTTGATGTAAGCTTTAGGCTCTGTACTGTGATGCTAATTTTCCAAACTATGAAAATCAGTCAGGACCTCTACTTCAAGATGGCAGGCTTCCCAACAGGCCGCATTCCCATCAGGAGGAGTATGATTTCAGCACAAGTCCTTACAAATCAAATGGTATAAGAAATCAAGTCTTAGGGGCTGAGGCTATAGCTCAGTGGTAAAGTGCTTGCCTCACATGTGTGAGGCACTGGGTT